TCTTTTCACGATAACGCGTTTAAAACATCAAATAAACTTCAGGTAATTTAACAAGAAATGTATAGTCAAAACGACGCTAACATGACAGTGTTGAGTAAATGACGTCACAGCGTAAAACTGCTGTACATAATGACTCGTTGGCCGTGACACAAAAAAATTAATGGCGGACGAAAATAAATCGTAAAATTTTGGCCCTTCCCTTTCGAATATTAGAAAGATATTTCAGTGAGAGGTTCTTAATGTGTTCAAGATTATTTCAGCAAAGTTCCAGCTCGAATGAAAGAGTTTTAATTTTGGAACAATTTTCGTCCAAGTGGCCCTTTAACATGCACTTTAAACAAAGCAAAACTACGAATTTTTTTTTAATAAAAGAGAATATTTGGCCAATGAAACAAAGTCGTATAATATCTATGACGGATTAGTGCCGAGTATCACTCAAAGAAAAACAAAATAAAACAATGGATTTATTTTTTTCGGGACGGGGCAAATGAAATCACTTTACAAGTCTAAACAGATACCTGTAGACATCATATTTTTTTCCCGGATTAGCTGAAGCCCATAATTTGATCTTATCTTTTCATTAGATTTTTTTYCCGTTGTTGAGACTAGACCATTAAGGTTTGCATAGATAATTTTTCGATAATTCGATCTCAAATTTTGTTATTGTCCGAGCAATAACCCAGTCAGTTCAAGGGCCAACATTGTTCGTAAAACAATGCTGGCAAACGTTATCCAGATAGGATGTTGGTAATAGACCGTGGATTAACGAACCACGGAACTGCGGAACCTGCGAAACCCGCAGAACCTGCGAAACAACCTCAGAAAAGTGGCAGAATGCAAGGGATTAACTGTAGAGTCTGTAGATATGGTCTGGGGGGCGGCTAATCTCTCCCCTGATGTTTCTGGGCTAGAACATTTTCTTGCGTATGACGTACACCGAAGGGCAGAAGGATTTGATTGCAGTCGGGTCCGAAGTCCATACGCCGCCTTAGCTCTGCGGATGTTTCAAGGGTATGGCACAGTGGAATTAATTCTTCCCCTGTCGTTGACCATGGGTTTGAATCCCACCGTATCCAGATGGGATTTCCTATTTTTTTAAAGCATATTGTCTTGAATTTGGTACTGATATATTTTTAGAAACAGTGACTACTTAATTACTTTTTGCCGTCAGCATTTACACTTAATTGGTAAGCAAACTTGTTCGAAAAAAAGACCTTTGCTTCATGTAGTATTTATGAGAAAAAAATTGTATAGTGCAGCAGGTCAAAAGATTTCACGTCCCCATCATAAAATATAAATTCATTAATATCTTTACTGACTTCTTGCACTTTGTTCATTAAGTTATCGGCCGAAGAAAGAATGAAAATAATGAGACGAAGAGAGCGAAACAAAGTAGCGGCGTCAAGATGTCGAGAGAAAAAGAAACAAAGACTAGATGAACTGCAAAGGGTGAGTTATTAGTGAACATAGCTTTACGATTTGGAAGAAAGAACAAAACTTTTTAAAATAATTTAGCATTAAATGTCTCTTTGACGGTTTCTCTACAAGATATTTATAATAGAGTGGCCAACTCAAAAGCATTAGCTACTAGCCATTCTACCGGCATATCTGTTATACTTAATTCTCAATCAATATTTTGTCCGTCATTTCTTTTTGTAGATTTCTTTTTTAGGTTTTTGTAATTAGGTATTATTAGATCATGTGTGAAGTAAAATTGAAGTTGAAGTTGAGAAATATTGTCTGCTGAAGTAGAACGCCTCTTTGGCACCGTAAGACATTGTCCTTACGGAAATGACAATCGTAATACGATAAACTTGTCTCTTGATAGCTTCATTCTTTTGATATTCATTTCCATTTCTAATTCAAAAAGTATTGGAATTTATTGTATCATTACGAAGGGAGGGGCGTTTCCGTAAACACTAAAAAATAATGTTTTACTTACAAGAAATACAACTTCCGGTTGATTCATCAACCACACCCATCGTAGACCGGAAGTAACAAATCCACACTAACCGCGATGACAATGACAAATATCTTGTACTGTTACAGGAAGCTGATGGATTGGAAGATTCAAATAATGAATTAGCTAGAGAAATCGCCAACTTAAGGGCTGAAGTAGACATCCTGGCCACAAATCTAAGGAATCATAAATGTGTTTTAACATCAGGAAAGACATCGACATTGGATACTCCCAGCAAAGCGTTCAAAAGCTCGTGACATTTTGCTGGGATATTTTGAGAGAGAAAGAGAGCATACTATTAATATAAGCAGATCCGGAAGCCAGTGCTTGGCTTTCTACCATGTGTCAAGGGCTAATGGGAACTTTGAGAAATTGTTCTGCAAAAGAGCTGACAAGAAACTCACGCATATATCTGACAAAGTTACTATAAAGAAAGAGGAAGGACTGGAAAAAAAAGCTATAGAACTTGTTGAATTTTAYTCCAACATGGCAAAAATTATTTAATCGAATACAAGAACAACGAAAAAATACGTATTTATGCATGTTAATATAATGATATTTGTTCATTTTTTAGTCCCAAAGACATCTTATTTGATAGTCTTATAATTTTTTAAATAAACAGCTACATAACACACAGTATACAGAAACTGTTTAGTAGGCTTATTTATGTATAAAAAAGTAAAGAATTACTTTGAGCGAGAACCTTCTCAGTTATTTAGCCTCTTACCACACGAGCCCACATAGCCACTTTGCCAAAAAGACGTTTGTGAAGTCATGTAAAAACAAAACGAGGAGCAGAACATTGGGAACAAAGCAATAGACTTTTTTTTACCGATACGGCAGCCATATTGAATTCTAGGCAACTATTGAACAAATTATAGACTTCACAGCTGGCAGGATGTCTCAGTGTTTATCATGTTTATATAACTTTACGCTTTTCAATGAGGAGCACAACTGAAAAACAATTTAATTTGTAGGTAGTTGGAACAATTCTCCAACTGAACTGACCAAGACTTCAAATTGTTTGAAAATGTAGCCTTGCCACTTTATATTTTATAAATGTTTTACGTGTTTACTTCCTTGGCATGACATAATTCAAGATGGCCGCCGTATCAGTAAAATGCTCTCTAACGCCATTTATAACAATTTTTCTGATATCACTCACTTCAAAGATTAGTAAT